AATATTGACTTGAATGAATGCCTCCGCCATATAAGCATGATTACTTCGATGTTGAAAAATGAAACAAACGGGAGTTGTCTCATAAGTCATGAATCAAAAACATTAAATGGAAATTGCAGACAGTACAAGTTAATAGGAACATCGGCTTGACCCGGTGAAGATAACTGCATAATATTTTGACAATTAATCATAGAAGAAAAAGGTATAAGGTGCAGGTGAAATAGGACACACACAAAATTCGACCTTTGACCTCCAAGTGCGACTTTGACCTTAAAGACTAATTTTCCGACAGTTTATTAAGTAATTATGCCAATGAGATATGTATAAAATGTTTTCACTTATTACACGTCCCTCTCCTATTTTCACCGGCCTTCCAGTTTTGTTTCGGGGTCATCTGGGTGTCCAGCCGTTGCGACTGGGTTGTTTCGGGGGAGGGAGAGAGCTGCGTCCTGTGAAAATTTGTTCTTGTTTAAAACACTGCTGGTTGTCAAATGGCAACCACTGTCTCGACTCGCGGCTACATGTTGTAGAAAATTGAATATTGAAATATGTTATATACTAAAGACATGTATCAAAACAATGGGAAACAAACACAATAAACCCAGGAAAAAATGTTACATCATAAAACAAATATTTGTAATTATACAAGACGTGTTAGTTGAAGACGCGTGTGATTGATTATGATTCTTAATATATTTTTAAAACTGTTTTACAGACAGATAAAGAAAACTTGTTTGTAAAACCGTCAGTTCTTTCATACAGCGTTCGACCTATTTCTTTAAGTTCTATTTAATTTCTGTCCTTATAACCTGTTAAGATATAATGTGTAAATGACTCGTTATTTGCTGTCATTCCTATTTTTGTTCATTTCTTGTTTCATAATATGACATTTACATAAGTGTTTGACAAAAAAGATATTTAAATAGCATATTTGTCATATTTACGAGAAACAAAAGGAAACATTGATTGTTCTACACTTGATGATCTTAAGACCGATAGAAACGTTATAAGTAGAAGTATAGTTTATTCATATTTTGTAATTTCTTCATTTACATAATTTACGATATTGATGACAGACTGTTGGAATTGAAACTTCCTGTTATTGTACTTTTTGTTAACCACTAAGATATAGTTAAATAATCATATAGCAATCACTTTGTATATGATTTGACATTTTTTGAGACAATAATACTTTATGTTTTATACTTAGCTGTTTTTCAATGTTCTTTTTATATGTGTACATTATACGCAGCTATATTTGCATTTGAATACGAATTATGAGACTAAATGTTACGAACATTTTCTACCATTGACCAGGAAGTGGATGGGTGGCATACCAGAAATCGAATTCTACGGTATTGGATCACATGTTAATGCTGTATACCAAACATCAAGAGGATGTAGTAAGTACTTGCTGAGAAAACTGTTACGATTTTTTTAAAGTGTCTTTTGATGTATTATCTGTGATATGCAGAATTCATCACGTCTGATCATTTTCAAAATTTTATTTTGTTTACTTTCCCTTATAATGTTCTCGTTTTCTATTACTTAACATTTCATTCAAGGTTTTAACATTATATTTTATTTCTTGTATAGTCTGAAATAGCAGATAAAATTGAGAAAATATGAACCCCTGAAGAATTTCATTATTGCCTATCTAATTTGTATTTTGCCTAATACACTGTATTTAATACAATTTTCTATCGACACTATCACGTCTACTCTTTGTCTACATTCTTTGCAAGTACGTGTCTAATTCTGATATATATCTTTGCAACTTTTTTGCAAAAATAGTCTACATCTTAGAATTTAGAACCAAGAATTATATTTAATCTGCTAGTATGAACAATAAAAAACATCTGTTTATCTGCATAATTTAGAAATTTTAAAGCAATTACGGCCATGTTTTATTTACAAACATCATTAAGTAATTGTAGCATTCAATTTGATTTCACAACTGCTCTCATTTGATCTGATACAATTCTGATGCATGTTTGATGTTTATGAAGTTATGCTTCAATATGTAACCATACTTTATAACGATTATTAGTACTTACTTTATATATCCAATTAAATTTAAAATGCGTGTAAAATGTTCCATGTTCATAAACTGCATATTATTTATACATATTTAAATTAGAACAAAAAATGTTTGATATATATGATTTGTCTTCTCTTATCATCAATACGGCATAAACCATATCAGCCCCTATTCTGTTAGATCCTAAAATAATTAGCTTTGCCACCATATAGAGCTAGGCCAGACTTCACATCTGTGTAGTCTGGCAAGGCTCAATATAATGTTTGTTGCTCAATTTTTGTATTTTTATACAATATTGAAACTTCCTTACATGTTAAATAGACGACTTTTCTGAATTAAAAGCTGAACAAACAAACTTCATGAATTCAGCTGGTGAAGGCTTAGGTTATTGTCTCCATTCAATGTTTCCTTACCGTCTAAGAGATAGTTTTGTCTTTGTAAATTCCTTGTCTACAATATTGCAAAAATGAACTTGCTCGATTAATTTGAGAGAGACATTCTGACAGTTAATCTCACTCATGTCATACTGTTTTTTCGTCTCCTGCACTGATTAACATTTGACAAGAAACTAAAAGCATATTAATTTCGTTCATTAATGAAATATTGAGAAACATTAAGAAATATTTACTGTAAATGCTATTTCATAATAGACGTACAAGCTTACTCGATATTTACTTACGTGTTCAGACTCTAAAGGGTATACACCTTTCTCGATTCTCAGGTTTTCTAGGTCAGTGCACATTCAATGCTAGACTATGAATAATCAAATACCTGAGATTTGAGTTGGAGCTTAGATTCTGTTTACCTTTTTGGTATAATGGAATATCCAAAACAAAAATGCATTGTAACAAAACCAATTGATTTAATATTTACATTTTATGTCTTTTAAAACAATGTTTAAACGTATGGTTAGAGGTAAAACAAATTAAAAGTGTGATCATGTCAAATGTTTGTGAGTATTCCTTATTTAGAAAGTAAAAAAATTAACGGAACCTCTAAAGAAGAAAAAACAGAATTTCTTAAGAAAACCCAACACAACAAGTTGAAAATGATGTCATTAAACACTTGTTTTCAAACATGAGAAAACATATACAGTATGTTCTCGGAAAACCTTATATATGATAATTGTATTCTGGTCTTCGCGTTATCTTCCGGTCATGAAATAAAAATATTTAATTGCCCATTTTGTCAATTAAGGTTAACAATCTTTTCAACATACCGAACTTATGAAATTGAAGGCAAAAATGATTTTAATGACCAAGTTACTTTACTTCATGTTGTATGTTCGGCGATAAGAAGTTTTATTTTTCAAATGATGGACTTATTTTTTCCCTTTATGGTCTTGGTGTTTTTAAATTATTTAAAAATATGATTAAAAGTGAAACGAATTAAAAGTCTGAATTCTGTCAAATGTCTGTAAGTGTTCTTAATTTAGAAAGGAAAGAATTAACGAACCTCTAAAAAAGACACTAACCGAATCAAAATTGAAAATGTTGCCATTAAACACCTGTTTTCAAACATGAAAAATAAACATATCCAGTATTTTCTAGAAAAGACTTTATATATAATCATAATTGTTTTCTGGTCTTTACATTATCTTGCGGTCATGAAATTGCCCATTTTTTTTAAATTTAGATAAGCAATCTTTTCAACATACCGAACTTATGAAATTGAAGGCAATAATGCTAATAATAATCAAGTCACTATTCTTCTTGTTGTATGTTCGACTATTAGAAGTTTCGTTGAATTTGATTGAAATGTAATTTTCTAAATGATGGACATATTTTCTCCCTTTCTTGTAAATAATGTTTTTAAATTTTGATTATATATTATATAACAAGGGATACAACTCAAAATTGCTCCATTAATGAAAAAGTAAATAGAACGCAGTATATGAAAGCTTTTTTTCTTGTGATAGTTGGACATTCATGAAAGAATCGATAATTTCAAAACAAAATGAGTCACCTTGACATAGACAAGATATGTTTAAAAATAATATCATTTTTACACACGTTCGTAAAATTTCTGTTTATAAAATTACACGTGTTAAACGATATCTAATGCAAACGTATGCTCAAATAGGAAGTTTAATCATGTAATCGGCTAAAAATCAATCATCCACCACCATCAATTATGCAATCATTAGCTTCTAGTAAAAAATATTGTAACATTTTTTTTTCTTTTGATAATTTCTATCCTCGGCTTCCATTTTGAATGTCCCCGTATGTTCCATGCGTAAACTCAATTTCTATTATTAGTGACCGTCAATTTCATTGGGTAATTAATAATAATAATCCGGATGATAAAGGCGTATAGCTGCGACAAATAGCGGTTTTTTCATCAGCCAATAAAAATACTTGCAACATAACCACACTTGCATAATGGTCGATTCTTTGACAGCCAATGTAAATATGAAATGTTAGTTATTTCCTGCAATGTAACAGGTTTAAGTGAAAAGTTTGTAGTAGAACTTGGGTAATGGCTTGTTCATACATAAACTTCTACAATAACTTTGATGGAAAAGAGGATATTTTATACAGTTTACACGTGTGAATGCATTTTACGAACCCGTGCTGGTAATGCGAGTCCACGACTTGTATCCCTTGCTTATATTATATATACAGATTTAATAAAATAAGTACAGAATTCCAAAAACTATATACAATTTGATAAAAAAAATCTTAACACGAAATAATTACAATGCTTTGAATTGCATATTTAATTATGAATATCAACTTCATTATTTAAATTAATATTATCAAGGTTCCATTAGATTTTATTTTACCTTTAATAAAATGTATAAAGAGTATTACGGCTATTGCTACCTGTCACATTGTCAATATTGTCACCTTAACAACGGACTATTATCTACCAAAAATAAATATAATTGATTATACAGCGAGGAGATTATTTTATCTGACGAACCACAAGATTTTACGCAATATCAACTGATATTTATTGATAAACAACAATTATGATTTAGGACACACGTATTGTAAGTTAACATGTTTTAAAGTTAGTTATACATGTAGTAACTAAACGTTAATCGTGTATCTTTAGTGAATATTTACGTGGTTGTTTCTGTATACCTTGTAAAAAGTTATATTTTGAGCATAAAGAATATGACTAGTCCGGTGTCGCCTGCTATAGTACTCGAGAATGATAATCCTGAGGCAATATCTAAACCTTTCACAGAAAGTGGGAAATGTAAAGATGAAGTCACGTTAACATTTGACGATGGACAAATACTCTTTGTGTCACAAAATTTCTTAATATTGGCGTCGCCGGTATTTGAAGCGATGTTCCGTGGGGATTTCAAGGAAAAACAAACAAGGAATGTTAAGCTGAAAGGAAAGAAACATGAGGACTTTATAGAGTTTCTAATGTGTATTCACCCTGGAACGACAACAACTGTTACCAGTAAGTATAAAGTCATTATCTGTAAGGGGATTATAACCTCAAAAATAATGATTTTTTTTAGAAAAAGTAAAATTCATTTGATATTCATTTTTTAACAATTTTATCTACATTTATTTTATAATGTAAAGTATAATTAGTTTTGCTGAGATTATATTTTGGAAATAAAGTGTTACAAAGTGGAAAAAAAACTTTTGATATAGAAATAGTGATTGTAAGTGATTGTTTAACATGTTTTGACTCTAAAATGAGCGCAACTCCTTCTAATGCTGAGAAAGAGGAAGAGCATCCCAGGATTGACAAGTCCTTGTGTAAGCAAACAAAGATGCCTTGACACTGCTGAAGAATTTTTCAAGTGGCCAGTCACTTTCTGATATGACTTTAAATGACCGTATGGATAAAATGTTTGAACTGCTAACGTCTTTGAAAAAGGGCCAGGAAAGTTTTGCAGAAAATATTTGACAGAGAGACTAAGAAGGGATGTCTTGTCAACTATTGACGATAAAATAAAAGCGGTAAAGGTAGACATTGATTTGCAGTTTGCTGGCCTCGATAAACGAATAGCTGACCTAGAAATTGAGTATGATCTCACTTAAGTCGCACAATGGTTTACAGCAAGATAAATCCGTTAAAAATTGTGACATCACGATAATTGGCTCTAATCTACGGGAACGCCCGGGGAAATCGCCGTAAGATGACGCAAACGATTTGATCTCTGCTCTAGGCACGGACATATCGAGTTCCGTTAAAAATCACAGATGCAAAGTAGATGTACCGACAGACATAATGGGAAACCACCGTTACTTAAAATTGCATTTGAGAATGCTGACCAGAAAATTGATGTTTTACGTGCAAAAAAAAAGCTAAAAATCTGTTGCTGCATACAAAGATGTATACATCTTTGGTAGCAAAACGCATATCGAACGTATACTGGAACTTAATGCTAAAACATTATTGTCTCAAATTCCGAAGGGAATCAGTTTAGAGTAACTGGCAATGGTCGTATAGTGAAAAAAGATTCCCTGCATCAAAATAGTAGCGGTCGTTCAGATAGTAGCGGCAGTTAATCCAACGCCCGGTTGACTGAACAATCCATTTCGATATCACAGTTAAATGTAGCTGGCTGGACGGAATCCAATCATCTTTTGAGATCTAATTTAATTGCTCACACTGAATCAGATGTGATTTGTGTTAATGAAACCCATTTGAAAAACAATCAAACCATTAATGTTGAAGGTTATCGATTTTATTGCACACAACAGAAAATCAATTCACGTAAATGCACCAAAAGGTTCAGGGGTGTAGGAATGTTTATTAAAAATAATCTGATCAATGAATTTGAAGTTGACGTCATTGATAAGGCCTATGACGGCATATTAGGGGATTTCATTTACGTCAAAGACAACTGACCACTCAATTGTAATATATTCCGAATATCTTTCACCAGAAAACTCGCCATCGGGACGTAATGCTACAGACTTTTTTGCACATCTGCTTGGTCAAGTTTACCTGTTATCAGAGAGTGACGCAATATTTGTTTGCGATGACGTCAATGCAAGAATCGGGGAACTTTCAGATATAATTTCGAATGTGGATGGAATTCTTGAAAGATCGATTATCGACAAAACTGTTAATCAACACGGAAATACCTTTATAGAATTTCTTCTTGATTCAAAAATGTGTTTATTAAATGGCCGTTTTTGTAAAGACAAGGATAATTTTACGTCAGTATCAAGTAAAGGTAAATCAGTTGTTGATTATATATGCGTTCCACATTACTGTTTGAAAGCGTGTGAGAATGTTGAAGTTATTTCAGTGGAATCGATAGTAGACAAATTTAAGTTGCAATCGCTGATAGGGTCACGCAGTAAACTTCCCGATCACTATATGTTACGTTTTACATACAATTACAAAACCGTTTTAATTGAATTGAATTGCGGTCGCAGTTCAATACCAAAATTTTTAAATTGAAAAGAATTCCTGAAGATTTTTTAACATCACAATTGGCGAAAACAGCTTTCATTGGTCTAATACGAAATATTGAGTTGTGTAGAGAAAATCAACAAAATATAGATAACATTTATGATCAATTTTGTAAAACGTTAATAAAAGAGATGAATGCTCATATTCCGTCATTTAAGTGCTCTAAGAAAACACGAAAAAGGTATAAAACATTTAAGCCTTATTGGAATGATAATATAGAGACCCTCTGGCAACGTGTACGTCAGTCTGAGAGAGAATACGTAACATTTCACGGTGATCGTCGAACCAGATTACGCCTTCAAAATGAGTATATAAACTGTAGAAAGGCTTTTGATAAACAACTGCGTCGTGCTGAAAGGAGTCATAAGAGGTCTCTCTCGATTGATATTGAGTGCACGTTTGCACAGACAATCCAAGGGAATTCTGGGATCATATAAAAAATCTCGGTCCAAAAAATAAAAATTCTATACCTATGGAGGTTTATGATGCAGATGGGAATGTGACTAAAGACTGTGATTTTGTTTTCAATAAATGGTCAAGTGAATTCGAAAGCCTTTATAAACTGTAACGAAGCCGATGAAAATTTCGACAAGGAATTCTACGAGCAGATTTTAAATGAGAAGTGTTTCTTAGAAGATCTAATGTTAAGACCCTCTTTTTGAAGAAAATCAGCTGTTGAATTTCCCTATACGTCGGTCTGAAATAGAAAAAATTATTAATAGTGCGAAAAAATGGGAAAAGTGAGGGGTATGATAATTACCGTATGAAGTTTTAAAGTTTCCCATCATAATCGATGTTTTATTTTCATTGTTTAGTTTATGCTTTGAAACAGGAATCATCCCAAGTATATTGGCGAAAAGCATTAATTCCCCGCATACCAAAGGACAATACCAAAAGACAAACGTGTTACCACTAAACTATAGAGGTATTAGTCTGCTGTTCACTTGTTAGACAAACTGTATTCAGCGTTTATTAAATAATAGATTAAAAACTTACTTAGAAGAGGCAAAAATCTACTTGCTGATGAACAAAAACGGTTTTTCGTTCTAAAGGTCATGTGAGGAACATGTATATACCAGCTTGTACCATTATTAGAAATAGACTTATAGACAAAACAAGATACTTTTGGAAACGTTTCATTGATATACAGAAAGCATTTGACTTTGTTTATAGAAATATTCTTTTATACAAACTTCTGTCAAAAAAATATTAATGGTAAATTCTATAATTTTTATTAAGTCAATTCTAACGCGGACACATTCATCGTGTGTTAAACTTAACGGTATGTTAACAGACTGGTTCCCAACTGTGTCAGGTGTCCGACAGTGAGACAGCAGTTCTCCGACAATTTTTCGCATACTTCATTAAATGATCTTGTTGAAGGCTTAAATCGTCTTAACAAAGGTGTTTAAGTTTAATGATGATATTATATTGTTGTTTTAATTTATTTATGCTTTTTTTTTTTTTGACGATATTTTTTTTTATTAAATTATCAGAAATGAAAGAGATATGCAGAATGATATGTTAAACTATTATTAATGATTGGTGCAGAAAATGGCGACCTAAAAATTAATGAGGTCGAAATCGAATGTTATTCATTTTAGATTGCAAAGGGGAAAAAGTCAAAGTAATTTTACATATCACATAGGTGACTTCGGATATTATGTTGAATCTAATTATACATATTTGGGTGTTTTTAATGCAATGAACATTTAGATTTTTCGTAATACTCTGCTGATATTCTTTGTAAATCAGGGTGGTCGAGCACTAGGTGCAATTATATCTAAAATTCAGAATCATTAAGATAATTGGCTTTAAAACATATACAAAAATGTATTACGTGTATTAATGTATTATCTTTGCGTTGTGCCTGTAACTGATTATTGTTCTTCAATATGGGGTTTCAAAAAACTACAAGAAAACTAGATATTTACTCAGCATAGAGCAATTAGATATTTTATGGGTGTACATAGATTTGCTCCGATTTTCTAGCAAATTACTTGGTGCATATGGGGTGATTTGTGCTCAGCATTAGACGTTGGGGTTAATATACTGAGACTATGGAAAGACTTTGTACATATGGATGATGATAGTAGACTCACAAAAAAAGAAAGTGTTTTTGTATTGATTATACTACTGTTTTTGGAAATTAACATGGTGTTCAGATTGTTAAGCATATTTCTGCAACAAGTAAATTATGTCATATTTTGGTATGACAAACAAACTTCCAGTTTGATTTTTAAAGAATTATTGAAGGCTCTTCTTACTTGTTTACTATACAAAATTTCAAAATTGGTTCTGACAATTGTTACAAATGTGGCCCAAAGCTGAGAACATATGGTTTACATTAAAACAAATTATGAAACAGAAAAAGGATCTTTCATGTCTTCCTTAACTAAAGCAGAAAGATTTCCTATTTAGCTCAAAATTAAGATGCGGTTATTCTTCCGTCAAAACTAGAAACAGGGGACGATACGTTTGGGATTACGTGTTGATGAAAGAAATATGCACTCTTTGTACTGACAATGTTGTTGAGGATGAAACTCACTTTATATTGAAATGCTCTAGATACAACGATTTACGTGCTATTTTGATTTTAAATGTAAAGAGAGTTAACAGTGACTTTTGACAATATGTCTGATATTCAAAAACTAAATTATGTGATACAAAATCAATATGTTAACGCTGCAAAGTTTATTGTAAGAAAGTATGAAAAGAAGAAGGTTTATATCTTTATAAATGACCTGATGTTTTACATAATAAAAATTTACTTGAGTGTATTGAATCATGTTTAAAATATCACCAGACATATTTGAAAAAAAACAAGAAATATAATAACATCTTAACATTGTGTAGAATTTAGAGCTTTTTGAAATTTTGATATGCTTTGCTTGTCTATATGGAATTTTTTTGAATGATTGACCACGTGTATTTCCGATTATTTTTCTATGCTTTACATATTTTATTGTAAATCATTTATATGAATTTGTATATAGTTTTAAAGTGACTTATAGGCCCAACGTGGTCGGGTGTTGTAATTTGTTATATGTATGTTTATTATATTGTACATAACACAATGTCACTATAATAAAATTTACTTACTTACTTACTTACTTATTTCAATTATTACAGGAGACAATGTTCTGGACATACTACCTATTGCTGAAGAATATCAGGTCATGCGTATCGTATACAAATGTAAAACATGCCTGAAAAAGTGGCTCAACGATGAAAATGTGACTGCACGTAGAGGGAAATCTATTAATGATTATGTGAAGCCGGCTCGAAACTGCCTATATATCCTTCAAGCAGTCGCAATATTAAACGACATTGAGTTGACAACACTTTGCGTTAGAATAGTATCTCAATTCGGACATCGTATATATTTTGGCTCATATTCCCCAAATACCATCAACGGTAAAGAATTAAAAGAACGTATTTCTGACAAAGGGAAATTACCACCGTCGAGGAAATTTTTCAGTTGGGAAAGTCCCCGAGGTTTTCAAAGTCTACCAGCCCATTTTTAAAATATAACGTCCTTTTTCAGAGAAATTTAAATTTTTTTCCGTTGTAATGATTTCAAGGGGGGCAACTTTAGTAGTTTTGGTCACATTCTTACCCTCCCCACCTCGTTTTTACCCCCCGCCCCCCGCTTTCCCCTTTACCCCACAGGGTTTACCCCTCTCACTCCAGCTTCGATCCCGTCAAACTTTTTCGCTCCCGCTCAAGCTCTCGCTCCCGATCCCGCTCAGGCTCCCGCTCCTAATCCCCACCCCTTTCACTATCTAGCACGTGAATTGTACAATCCGGGGACACCAAGAACCAATGATTTTCTTTGTCTGATAAAGCTATTATACTATGTAATCTATTCAGTCAATGTCATTTTTTTAAATTATACTTTACACAGAGCTCATAAATACAGCAACGTGAGTCGGTGGGACAAAGACAAAGTTTATATATTCTTGAAAGGGTCTGACTATGTTGTTTTAATCAATGTATAATTTTTTCGGCTGATATCGCGTAACATCATAAGAATTGCGAGGCCACGTTCGCTTTCTTTCGATAGTTTTCATACATCTATTATTGTCGGCGACATACTGTTGTATTTTTAGCAAGGCACCTGGTTAAGGTTTGATTAAATGATTGAGTTTGTATGAGAATTGAGACCTCATTTGTTGTCATTATTTATTACTATAAATCTGTTGGGGTTAGACTGTGTATCAGTCTGGGAGATTTTAGTATAGTAACTCTGTCAACAGTTACTTGCATAAATTATGGACAAGAGGCCTGCAATTGTTATGTTTAGGGAACTCAATCATTGGTTACCATCATAAATATTCCAGGAATCAGTCTGTTTGTTTCTGGTACAGTTACTTGATCAACACTTGTCGTCATAAATATAGAAGGCTTAGATTTGTCAATTAACACTAAGGTAACCTCCAAATATGGAGAGACAAGGTATTTCATATAAATACTGGGACAAGATTTTCTAGGGGCAGTCAAGATTCAGGATTTTAGATTGAAGTTTCAAGAATGAGATCTTAAGAGCTAGATAGTGAATTCTCAGTGACTTATCAACCATGTGTGAGGAAGGAAAACTCTGTAACTTTAATTATTAATTGTAGAGTAGTAATTTAGAACATTTTCAACAAATAAACAGTGAAATGAAATTAAGAACAGTTATTGTGTATTTTTTATGCGGAATTATGGAAGAAGTAGAAATTATAAATTACGGGTGAAGAGAATTAATAACAATACACAATTAAAACCAAATCGTTAAATATTGTAGTCGATGTTCATTAGAACTCGCCAACTAAATTCAACTGAAGAAAATTGAGAATAAGCAAACATGATTTTATTTAAACATAATTATATAATTTCTTAATTATATAGGTAACGAATTTCTGATTAAGAATAATCAAAGGCAAATGAAGCTCTCGCAAAAAAGTACCACACACTGTGTGATTGTTTTTTTTCAGTCAGAAAATCACTCTTGATAGCCATGTTTTTTTCACAATTGTTTCACTATGTTTCACGAAGGTCTTGGTTTGTATGTATTTGTATTGTTATTGCTATTCTATTTTGTATGTCTTTTCCACACTATATGTGTTTTCTTTGTAAATGCCAAAGGCAATTGTTAGGCAATTGTTTTGCTGATGATGCTAATAAACTTGAAACTTGAAACTTTTCATCATGCGTTTAATTTATTACTTTCTAAGTAAGTAATACTTCATGCGCACTTTTATTTTATTAAAGCCCCATCAAGGTTATCATGGTTAAAACATAATACATATTAAATAGAAATTATAAAAAGGGTAAATAAACAATTGATTTCGAATGAATGTAGGTTCAATCCTGAATTTATCGAACGATTTGAATAAGACAATATATATTTTCGAGCCTCTGGTGAGTATAAATGTAGTAAATGAAGCTACACGAATATAATGTTCTATTCATCACACACCCATAATATGAAATGTTTACAGTAAAAAAGAACATCTTTTGTTATTTTATGCAGTGACATTTGCTAACCTAGACGCTTTTTACACAAAAAGGCACACTGTTTACATCATGTTTTTATAAGTACATATGTACAAAACATCAGTTAAAAATATATATAAAATCATGTTAAGACGGGAAAATCAATGTGGCCATACCACGTGACTTTTCGGGTACGGAACACGCCGATTTTTTACCCGATTCTGGTATGTTTTTTATTCACAACTTATTTATTACTCAACCGATTTTGATCAGATAAGGCGCAGAGTACCCGTAATTATATCAGCTATCCACGGTATATCAAAATTCTGAAAACCCCTGAATGGTTTTGAGAACATTCGAGTACAGTTTTCTTTTCATAGCCTGGGCCGAGGGGAACGATACACACTCATTTGTCATAACAAGCAATTTCTAGCAAGTCATATGTTTTTTGACACTATATTTCATAGAAAAATACATGTTAAATCTGATATGTTTACTATGTCCAATGTATCGAGTGAATGCAGTAATGTTTTAGCATATTTTCATAAAGTTATGTTGCAATGGTACGGAACACACTGAAATTTCAAAAGATACGGTACACACACAATTACTGTCTTTGTAATAATTCTAAAATAAAATGTATTAAAATTTAATTTCAATTATAATGTGAGTGATTTTTTCATAGTTATACTATTTATTAATTTAAACGAGAACCCAAGGACCTGTTTTGCAATGTATCATAATTGCTTACTTTTAATGTTTATATGTATTTGTGCACTATATTTCAAGAGATCACGCTTAACATTTACAACCTCCATGTAATTGTCCTATTTAAAATCACCTAGGGTATGTTAAACACTTCGATCTTCACAGAATCAGGTAGTTGCGCTCTATAGAAAGAAAATGTTGTTATATAATGCTGTGTTTATTGCTGTTTCTTTAAGTTTAAGTGAAGTAAGATATGTCTTTTTGCTTCATCCTGAAAAAATAAAACAAGGTCATGACCTTAATCGCTGAAAAGTATCATTACTTGATAACAATTTATATATATTTATATTTTGTTAATAATAAGCAAGTCATTAGGTACATTTTTGCAATATCATGGTCATGTTTAATTAAATCAAACCACAGAAGACGCTGAATTGGTTTGGGTCTCAGGATGTCAGAAAGGTGAAGACTGTGAGATTGTAAACCAATTTGTTTTTGTAAAGTGCCATCAATGTTGTTTCTAGTGTCATAACTGTAGTAAATTGGTTATAAGGCTAATTGCAACACTGATATGTAATTCATTGTTCATTTGGCTTAAAAATTAAAAACAAAAACAAAACATGAGTTGCCTTAACTTGGATTTGAACTCAGGACATCTCTCTTCCTATATGAGCGTGTAACCCCTCGACCACAAGGAAGTTATAAGATAACAGCCTGAAGAAAACCATATCATTCTAAATAAGGGTTTGTAACCCTTATTAATTTCGTTTGACACTGATGTAAATAATCATGGAGCTTAATATTACATGTATATCTGTAAAGAATTACACAATATTTGAAATCTTTGACCAATCGGGAACTACTTTTCTTCTCCCGAGAAGGCTTGAAAATTAATGCGCCCGCCATTTGACTGTCTTAACACAGTGATCCCCCCCTTATTTTTTCAGTGTTAGAGTACATATAAAGGTAATTAAGTAACCGCTTCCAGGGGTTCGGACTACTTTCCTTTTTTGCAAATAAGCATATCAGAGCCTGAAATTTCGCTACCATTATTAAATTTTGTTTGGTCTGACGACCAAAACAAATAAAAATGTAGTCGCCATTGCTTAAATGTTTAAAGGCATGAAGCTTTAAAAATAATTTTTAATTCATGTAATTAGGTCATTTTTTGGTTTAGTTTCACGGCTCATAAAACTGACATTATCATGTGGCGACTTTCGAGTTTGGCAAGTGCCCCTTTGGGTATAAATAAAGGAACGAACGGGCACCTGAGTAAAACGACCGACATTTCTGTACGGTAGTAAGAAAACTTTCTCAAATAAAAAATCGAAACATCGAAGTCACTTGTGGTCTCGTACCTACTTCATGTAGTATATAAAACAGAATGCAGCCTCCAAAATCCATAGCATTTGATTGACAAAATAGGTCAAAATATCATTTTGTCTTTAACACAAACACGCAAGCACAAATATCCATGATCTCAAGTGTTAAATACATCTTGAAATGAAAGTCCAAGATAGGCATAATTTTACCAAATTTCCTAACATGTATATCCTTACATGTATATGTAACAAGGTTACCTTGTATAAACTACGTTACGTTATATACTTAAGGACAATGAAAACGCACGGTCGGGATAATTGCATTTTAACAAGGAAAATATATTTCTTTTAAATATTTGTTCACAGTTTCATAAAACCGAATACATTCCGGTCATTTTGATACCAAAGTTATGAAAAATGATTGCATTTTTATGAAGTTATTGCATAATAAAGACAGTACCCGAAAAATCAAAAGTAACACTTTTGGCTAATTGTGATAAGATCAGAACGGAAAACAAATTGAACCAATTCATGGTTACTTTATGAAATGAAATTATTTTTTTTTAAACTGCTAATCATTAACTTCTTTTTCACAACTTTCTAGAAATGTTAGACACAAATAAGCAATTAAAATCTTTATGAAAATGAATATTAAACTATGCCAATGGTCAGTTTTAGGAATCGTAAAAGCTCACATAGAAATTGCATATACACACTTTTCCTCTACAGAAGGTGCTAAATTTTAAACACTTCTGAAGACTTGCTAGCAAGTTGTATGCAATGTTTCTACAAAGATATAACCGCTTGGTAGATTTAGGGACAAATTCAGTCTGGTCTGTCTTACAAACAAAGCGCCAACCATTTTGATGTCCGTCGGGTCTACATTTTCTCGGCTTCACCAGCGTTTTCGCACTAAACTACAGGCCGAATGACGTCAGATTTCACAGGCGACTATCCGCACCGTACGGTCTATGAGGCGACGATGTACATCTGTAAGAGACGCTGATGGAGGACAT